AGATAGAATATGAAAAAAAAAACCTGAGTGCCTGAGAACAGATGTCTGGTTAAAGAAACTTTGGTACATCTACACAATGGAGTACTATGTAGCTGTTAGAAAGGATGAAGTCATGAAATTTACATACAAGTGGTACTACATGGAAAGTATCATGCTAAACGAAATGAGTCAGAAACATTGGGACTGACATAGAAAGATTGCATCCATCTGGGGAACATAAAGTAACAAAATAGGAGACTAACACCCAAGACTATCTGAGATAAGTACCAGGAGGTTTACTCCATGGCTTGGAGGCCAGCAGCACATGCTAGGGGAAAAGGCAGCTCAGATAGAGAAGGGAGCACCAAATAAAGAATGTCGGAGGATCCTCCCAGGATGGGAGATGCATGCTGAAAGTAGACTATAGACCAAACATGATTGCCACTCAATGCCTCTTTTGCAAATCACAGCACCCAAAAGGAGAGAGAGAACAAAAGGGAGTGTCCTGCCACAGAGGCAGGATGGGATATGGGAGGTGGGGGGCTGGGAGGGATACTGGGATCAGTGGTGATGGAGAATGGACACTGGTGGAGGGATGGGTACTCGATCATTATATAACTGAAACCCAAGTACAAAAATTTGTAAGTCTACAACTGTACCTCATGGTGTTTCACTAAAAGAATTAATATATATATATATTCCATGAAGAAAGAAACATATGAAAACAAATATATTTTACAAAACAGTCAGCTCCGTTTTCTGAGGAGTGTTTGTGAAATTTTGCCACCATAATATTTCATAATATTTATCCAATATTAGTTACATGACCACCCCTTTCCACAAAGTAAGCTAGGAAATAGTTTTTCAGCAGATACATTGGCAGTCATAACAGAAGTAGGTTCTGTTTCTAAATATTAGATATCGAATATTTGATAGAAAGTTTATTGTGTTTGGTCCAGATGCATAGGTAGATTAAATATCGACTTATTTCCAATTGAATCACCGTGAAATACAGTTGCAAAACTTTCATGTTGGAATTTCAGTCATACAATGATCAAACACCCATCCCTCCACCAGTGCATATTTTCCACCACCGATGTCTCCAGTATACCCCCCAAACTTACCCTCCTCCTGCTTCTATGGCAGACAATTGAGGACATTTCTTAAGAGTTATGTTTTCTTAATTAGGTGCAAGTGACCAATTTTAACAGCATTAGCTTCTTTATAACCATTGTCACACTTATTTTTGTCAGTTATTAGTCATATATTCGTGGGGCAATGCAGATTCAGTTATATATATATACTTATATACACACATACATATATATATAATACCCATTATATATACATGTGTAGATACATATAATGGTTACAATTCAGGAAGCTTTTACTTTTAGGATTGTTGCTGCTGCTACTTAGAAGTTAACTCCTTGAGTTCTCAGAAACTGGAATTATTAACTTTTCCTTTCTAATTTATGGATTTGTATCAGTTATGAAGAAGGTAGGCGTTATGTCTCTAGAGGTTACATTGAATTATTTTACTATTGAAGTTTTGTCTCTGTTCATTAGGATCTTTGAGTTAATATATACAGTCTTCCAATAACTATAAAGGATGATTAGAATTGTTGAACATGGTCATTGTAGTTGGACTTATACACAATACCAACAGAGCCTCTCAGGTCTTCTATTCTACTAGAATTTTGAAGTTTTTTCAAAGTTCATGCTGATTTTTAAATCGTTTTTGTTTTTCACTTTGGTTATAACACAGGTACATTCTTTCTAATGTGGAAGAACATTGCTTGTCCACATTTGGAGAAATGGCAATTTTATATCCTAAAGTAGGATATAATTTTTCTGCACAGAATGTTGGTATTTCTACATAAAACAACATTCTGATCTTTTTATGTTCTCTTTTTATCATGATGTAATCATTGTTGCCTTTCATACCCTTTGTGCTCTCATAGAGTGATGATTTTATTTAAAATTTATTTTGTCAATCAGCCTTCCCACGTCTTTTATAAAAAAATATGGACATTGCTTAAAAAAAAACAGAAATTGAGCTTCCACATGACCCAGCAATACCACTTCCGAGAGTATATCCCTGGGATGCAATAAAAGCACAATAGAAATGACATCTGCATCTGCATGTTCATTGCAGCACTATTCTCAATAACCAAGATCTGGAAACAACCCTAGTGCCTGAGAATAGCTGATTGGATAAAGAAACTTTGGTACATCTACACAATGTAACACTTTTAGGAAAGATGGAGTCATGAAATTTGCTTACAAGTGCATGGTCATGGAGAGTATCATGCTAAGTAAAATGAGTCAGATACACTCTACCCGCTGTATTATCGCTCCATCCCAGAAAGAGAGTATGGGAGAAAATTTCTGCCACAGAGGCAGGGGAAGGGGTGGGATGGGGGGATAATGAGGGCATTGGTGGTGGAAAATATGCACTGCTTGAAGGATGGATGTTTGATCATTGTATGACTGAAACTCAAACAAGAAAGCTTTATAACTGTATCTCATGGTGATTCAATTGAAAAAAAATGTTAAATCCTAAAAAAAGATTTATTTTTCCATTGGTTTTAGGATTCTTCTCCAACATTCCTATCATTGCTATCTATACAGTTTGAGTAATCTTTATCTGTTTTCTTTCTAAAATAATCATTTTGTTTCAAACTAAGTGATGTATGTAAAGTCTCAAGATTTGCACTTTTCTTCTGAAGTTGTATACGCTCTCTTCACTCATTTATTTCATTTCATTTCATTTCATCATCCTGTTAATCGTCGATTGCCTCGAGCAGGCCCCAGTAACGTCTCTTTCATCCTAGCCCTGAGATTATATTCACGGCTCTTTAGGAGAATGAGACCCATCATTGTTACTGGTAACCCATCATTGTTACTGGCTGGAGTGATAGCACAGCGGGTAGGGCGTTCGCCTTACAAGTGGCCAACATGGCCGACCCGAGTTCGATTCCTCCGCCCCTCTCGGAGAGCCCGGCAAGCTACCGAGAGTATTCGATATGCCAGACACAGTAACAACAAAGTCTCCAATGGAGACGTTACTGGGCCCGCTCGAGCAAATCACTCATTTATATTTTAAAAATTTTAGGGATGAATGCAAAAGCACGGAAAACCAATTTTTCAAGTTCATCATTCACCCCAATAATGTGTATATTTGAATTAAAAATACCTGCTTTCATTCAATTGTAAATGTTTGTATGCATGAACTTCTACAACTGTTGATTTTAGAAACTTACATTTTTCCTCACCTATGCTAATGTCAATACTATCAGAGAATGGTGTAGTAAAGTATAGCATTACAAATGGCTCAAAAGTGGACTCTAGATAGGGCATTAGTGAATTTTTAACTTATCTCTACTTAAGCTGTGGCCAACATTGAGACAGTTAATTTGTGACAATAAAAATAATCTTAAACCTCCATCACCAGACATGATGCACATACTTTCCACCTGTTCTATGCAATTCTAGAAATAATCTCATACTTTTTATATTTTTTGACATTTGACATTTGATTTTTTTTTTTTGGGCTGGAGCAATAGCACAATGGGTAGGGCGTTCGCCTTACAAGCGGCCAACATGGCCGACCCGAGTTCGATTCCTCCACCCCTCTAGGAGAGCCCGGCAAGCTACCTAGAGTATTCGATATGCCAAACACAGTAACAACAAAGTCTCCAATGGAGACGTTACTGGGCCCGCTCGAGCAAATCGACGATCAACGGGAGGGCCTTTACCTTTACCTTTACCTTGACATTTGATAATTGGTCATATATATATATATATACATATATATATATGCTTCCCTTTATGGTTTGTTGTCTACTGTCTGAACCCCATCAAATATGGTGTGGTAATTATGGAAAATGGTTAAGGAGTGTCTTATGATGTATCACGCAGCCACAAAGGTGGCCACGTGGTCCAGCAATATGTTCACTCATATGCGTGTGGAAAGCAGCCTGGAGTGTGGCAGTGGTTGGGTATTGAGGTCGGCTTCCAGGGCTGGGTTCCTTGGGGTGGAGAGGGCTCTCACCCGCCATCCTCTTGGGTACCCTGAGTGAAAACAGCCTGGCAAGGAGTCCGGTGTCATGGTTATGATTACCTCATCTTACACTCCCTTCAGGGAGAAGCAGCTGTGAGTTCTGGAGGGTGGCCGATGAAGAGATTATCTGGCGCAGGCAGGAGGTGGCTTATGGGTGTGACCCTTGGGTCGCTGGAGACTGGAGGGAGCAGGCAGAGGATCTCTGCTCCCGGGTCCTGTTGAGTCCAGAGTCCACAGTCACAAAGTTCTGCCTTATCTGTGTTCCAATGCGGCAGCATTGGGAAAGGCTAATAAGGACAGGCTGTTGAAATCTCAGGGCTGGGACGAATGGAAATGTTACTGGTCCCTGCTCGAGTAAATTGGTGAACGGGATGTCAGTGATACAGTAATAGGACTGTATATGCATTATTGGAGGCACTGAGTGAATTTACCTTTTTTCTTTTCCCAGTGAGTGAATTATTGATTATCTTAGACCTTGGGCTTTAAAAATAATATGTTCAAGGACTAGAGTGATAGTAGAGTGGGTTGGACACTTGCCTTCCATGTAACCAATACAAGTTTGATCCCTGGTACCCCATAAGGTCCCTTGAGCACTTCTATGAGTGATCCCTGAGGACAAAACCAGGACTAAACCTGCTGTGTCCCAATAACTTCCTCAATAAAGAATCCTATTTGCATAGATTTTGAGAAGATCGAGTTCCAATTTCAGGTTTTCTTATACTCATAAACACTTAAATCTTAATAATACTAAAAAAGGAGGAATATACAGGTTGAGATATGCAGTCTTTAAAAAAATCTAATTCTTTGTACTTGTCCAAAAAGGCAATAAGGGGCTACTGAAAAGTGCCCTTTCCCAGAAGACCCTGTGGTTCCTAAGAAACCAGAACACGGGGGAGTAGCAATAATACCTGGGAAAATAAGCTGATGAAATTTACATTGTTTTCTTTCCAAACAGATCAGAATGATGGATTTCACTGTCGGGAAGAGTGCCGGATTCTTGGTCACTCTGATCGGTGCTGGATGCCTCGAAACTCCGTGACCACCCGATCCAAGTCCCCTGAGCACGTGAGGAATGTCATCGCACTGTCCATTGAAGCTGCTGCTGCAGATGCTGAAGCATATGATGACTGCGGCCCTGCCAAGAGGACCTTTGCAACCTTTGGGAAAGATGTCAGTGATCATGTGCCTGAGGAAAGGCCCACCCTGAAAGGCAAGAAGACTGTTGATGTCACCATTTGCAGCCCTAAGGTCAGTGGTGTGATCCGGGAGGCAGGCAATGGCTGTGAGGATATTAGCCCTGTCACATCCCCTCTGCACCTCAAGAGCTCTATGCCTACCAAGCCTTCAATATCTTTCACCGTTGCTCTGGCACCCATGGGTCGAGATGTTGAGCAGTATGCCAACAATGGCGCTTCTCGTCCCTCTGAAGCTGAGCCCCGTGGAGCCGACAGTGAGAAAGTTGTGTGTGAAGTCATTCCCATTATGAAGGAGGGTCGTGACAAAGAGTCTCCTGGCGTAAAGCATCTGAAGGACATTGTACTCTAAAGGGGAAGAGAGAGAAACCATGCTGGCCAGTGAAAAAGCAGGAGTTAATCTTTGTAATTGTTTACCAATGGTTGGTTCTTGAGTGGTATATTTCAGAGCTTTCCCTAAATGTATTGTTTATAAACGTCTATCATTTTGTGACAATCCGTCTCCTTTAAATAAGCAGCAGGGGTGATCAGTTGGAGCAAATTAGCTTGCACTTGAGTTGTTCTTGGGGCCTTGGTGTTGGGGAAACAGAGAGAAATTCAGTTGTGAAAAGTATTATGTATAAGTGTTTGAATTTATATATTTTTCTATGTCAAATGATAATATAAATTGCCATTGTTTGTGAAGGGTTACATTTTAAAAAAGAAAAAAAATCAAACAAAAAAACTAAGAAAAGCAAAAACAAAAAACCAAGCTCTGGATATCTTTAATAAGCTCGTCATTGTTTTTGTAGTGTAGACAAGTTAATGGTCATATATTGTATACTATTCAGTGATGTGTACCAAGCCCCCCAAAAGTTGTTTCTGAAGCTTGAATACTTTCTGATGACTCTACTTTGCTGTGGACAACCCTAATTTTAGAATACTTTTTGATAGCTGTGCTCTTGTTGTATTTGATATTGCAAATTATTATGTGTGTAGTGAGGTTAAAAGGGTTTTAGAGGTTGATACTTTTTCATATAAACAACAAAAATACAGACAAAAACAAAATGCAAACAACTGAGATGAAAAGTGGAGGAGCAACATCACATGCATAAACAAAGTTTTGAAGCATATTCACCCATTAAAATACATAGTGATTTCTAAATCACCTTGCAAAGTGCTTTTTCTGCCTTTCAGTCTTCTGCTCAGATCCATGATGGATCATTGCAGGAAGTCATTTTTTGGATATTCTGTTACTAATGTGCAGTTGTCAGAAATGCTGTGCTGAAAGTTTTATTAAATCCACTTTTAAAATGTTCAGGCCATGAGCAGTAAAGTTACCTCAGAAATTATCAGTTTCTAAGCTTACACATTCACTGTTGTATGGACCAAAGAGATAGTACAGGGGTTAAGACAAATCCCTTACATGCAAAAATTCTGGTATGATATCCAGCACCACATTTGGTCCCCTAACACCACTAGGAGTGATCCCTGCCTGAGCACAAAGACAAAAAACTAAGGCTTGATCATGTCTGCACGTGGCTCAACCTTACGGCAAAATGGGAGGGGGGGGGGATAAAGAAATTCTTTGTCTCCAGTCAAAAAGACTGAATCTATTTTGAGATCTTAATTAGTTTTTTTCAACACATATGTCCTGGTTAGAATTCAACTACAGAGCATGCCAGGAGCTAGGACTGGGAACTCCTAGTTTTTCCATAAAGGCTTACAAAGAAGGAAAGAGTAAGCAGTATTTTAGGAGAAGACAAGAAGCAGGTAAAAGCGTCAATCCAATCAATGAGACTTTGAAATGGAGACATCTGTTCTAGTAATTGTAAGACTAACACTTTCCAAATCTTAAAAATGTGAAACTATTCAAAATTGTTTATATTTAGGTAACTCTGCTGTAGGCAAGTAATTCACATTTTTAATTAACAAGTTTGTTCACGTGAATTTTTTAATTTAACATTTTCCCAATTTCTCATTTATTAACTGCCTATTAATATTTATTGGCCAACACAGTATTCTTTCAGCTTAAGAGTTCATTATTTAAAAATAATCAAAGTATGAGACCTTTGCTATGCTCTGCCTTGGTTTTGAAAGAACTGTTTTTGAGAAAGAAGTTATGTGGTTCTCTTCTCAAGTTGTTTAATTTTTTAAAAATTTTTATTAGTGAAACACCATGAGGTACAGTTGTAGACTTACAAATTTTTGTGCTTGGATTTCAATTATACAATGATCAAATACCCATCCCTTCACCAGTGCCCATTTTCCATCACCACAGGTCCCAACATTTGTTTAATTTTTTGAAACTCAATTTTGCCTGGAAAGTAGGCTTGGAGATTGAAGCACTAGAATGAAAAAGTGGATTAATTTTCTCAAGTTTACATACATAAATCAGCTTTAAAACATATTTTAGGGATTTTTTGGCTAAATTCCTGTATTTTTGCATTACAAGGATTATTTTCTTTTATGGATGGGGAGGGTTTTCAAAGATAGGGATGGATAAGGTTGTGGGAATGGGTTTTGATAGGGGAAGAATATTTCTGAAGAAGAACCTATAGTGATACTACAAATTCACTCTTATATCTAATATTTGGTACTAAATTTTACCTCATACAAATTATTGTCATGGCTGCAAGGTTTCCTTTGATACTGACACAGAGATTGCTTATCTGATGGTTAATTTTGGCTCATTTCATTATTTCCCATGCACTCTTTCCTGCCATCAGTTCATTTCATTTTTACTAGAGATTGAATTAAGTATTGATTTTTCTTTGTGAGCGCTGTATAATTAACATAGTGAAAATTAATTTTTATCATTTAAATTATGGTGGCTATCTGTAGAGTTTAGACTGTTTCTTACTTGGTCTATGTTGATGTTGTTGGCTACCATGGTTGCTTGCAAGTCAATTTGACAGTTTTTATAAAATTGTACTGTCAATTAGGGAAATAGAGGAGTTGAAAAGATTGTCGCACATGGGAATGTTAAATGATAAATGATTGTTAAGCCAGAGAGTCTACAGGTAGCTATGCCTCTTATTAGCCAACTTTCATGTAGTTGGAGTAGCAATGGCATTGGTTTTGTTTTTCTTTTCCCCTATCAAAATATTTTTTCTTTTTTTCTATAAAAATATTTTATTTTCACTTGGCAGTCAGACCTTTTTTGTTGTTGTTTCATTGTGCATGTCCAAAGAAGTCCTCATAATAAGAATATGTTTTTTCTCTATAGTCTTGATGTTTATCTACATCCTTCCAGGAGCACAAGTGCATTCTAGGAGAGATTTACAAGCTGATTTTACAGGCAATCTGTTCCTAAAAAATAGGAATTTTGTGCAAGAATCCTAAATTTCTCTTTGGCTTTTGTCTCTTACCCCTTCTCTCCTTTTCAATGCATTTGATGAAAAAGGACAAATGCCAGAGGGCTAATTAATCTTCATTTTCTCTCTCTAAACATGTTACACACTTAAAGATGAGGGAGAAAATTTAGTTCCTAAATCCTAGGGGTTGTTATTTAATTTATTCTGACACCCCATTTTGGGGAGAAGTTAGCATTGACATTAGAACTGCTTTGGGCAATACCCTGGGCAGTTAAGCTTACTAATTCAATACAAAGGGTTTAATTTAGATTGACTTATTAACCCCCCTTCAATATGAGACTATACGATCAACAAAGAATAGAAAGAAGGGAACCATGCTATGGGGAATCTATCCTGTTTTCTCTATACTGACTTATCTTTAAACCCTATTAGAATGAAACTTACTGTTCCTTAGAACTCCTAAAAGCCAGTAAATAATGGCTCACTGATATATCGCCCAAATAGATCATAGGCCAAGAAATCATGAAATCTCTGCAGGATAGTAGTTTCCAAAGTGCAATTCCAGGACCTAAAGCAGCATCACTGTCACTGTCCTCCCGTTGTTCATTGATTTTCTCAAGCGGGCCCAGTAACGTCTCCATTGTGAGACTTGGTTGTTACTGTGCTTGGCATATCAAATACATCACAGGTAGCTTGCCAGGCTTTGCCATGTGGGCTCGAAACTCTCAGTAGCTTGTGGGGCTCTCGGAGAGGGGTAGAGGGATCGAACTCAGGTCGGCCATGTTGGCTGCGAGCAAGGCAACGCCCTACCCGCTGTGCTATCGATCCAGCCCGCATTATTGGTAGCTTTTTAGAAAGTATAATTCTCTGTCACTACCCAGACAAATTGAAGCAGATACTCCTTGGATGGGTCCTAACAATATTGGTGGATTAGATGACCACTAAAAGTTGAGATAGTATTATAAAGCACCATAATGAACAACACAGTTTCTGATTCAGTAAATATAAATTCAGTAGGAATGTGGCCTGAATATTTTCTTACTTAAGAACTGTAGGTGAAGCTGACACAGCAAGTGTAGGAATTATACTCCAAGTACCACTGCTCCAGAGAGAACTTACCTAGTGGTATAATATGAGGTGCCCTTTAAAACTGAATTGTTGACATGGTGACTCATCAAAAGTGTTATTCTATTTCAGAGATTCTCAACTGGGGACTCTAGGATAGTCTAGTTGGGGCCACAGGTGAAAATCACATAAATGGGGGAGGGGGTGTTATTGCACAAAACTAGTGAGCCAACCAGTAGGACAGGAACAAAACCAGGTCAGAAGAGTGGGATTAATGGGAAAAGGTTAAGATACACTGGTCTAAGGGATACAACTTTGAACTCTGAAATTTGGGAAATCTCTGAAGGAAATTAATTAGAATTTTTCACAAAGCTCTATTACATCATTAAAAATCAAAACAAAAGTGGTCCACTTTGAAGCAGTGAGGAAAAATGGCAGTTTGGGGCAAGGCAGGGTGTGAGGAATAACTTAGTTGGGCAGCAAGGTAAGAAAGAAATTTTTATTGTACATATCAGTCAGTTCTGGATGAAATTCCAGTTCAATCTGTGGGGAATGTTCAATGTTCCTCCAAAGCATCCTGAGAAGTCTGGTACACTTAGCTCTTTACCTAGGGTAATAATACCCTAACTGACTTTGAAAAACTAGCTTAAATGAGCTTAAGAAATCCATTGTATACAGTTCTAGTGTTTGCCTTCTTGGTAAAATTACATTTAAGGATGTCATTTCATGAGTCAAATTGTATCTGCTGACACTGAAGTGTATTGAGATGTTCTTTAGTTTAAGTATGTAACAAAGTAATATTCAAAGGGGATGTGTGGGGGTGGGGCTGGGACGGGTGACTTTATATTGATAATGAAATATTCAGAGCAAAACACATTGTCCTAATGAAGTTGTTGCAGCTCTCTTTGTTTTCTTGTGAGGCTGGAATTGGCCTGTGGGTCACTTGTGCAAAAGTGAATTAATTTCAAACAGAACTCATATTGCTTTTGTGAATAAAAAAAGAAAATTAACCACCTTGTCTGAAATATGTATTGTAAGATGCTCTTGGTAAAGAACAACACTCATGTAAACGTGATCTTGATTGAAGCACTGTCGGTCATTAAGGAAAATGGATGATTCTGATTGTTGCTCCAGCTGTGTTGGCAATTAAAGATGACCTTGCTACTAAATTAAAGTTGCTGTCAACCTTAGCAAACAAACCAGCTAACACCATTACAGCACAGGTTAAGTAGACTTATACTGGCATTGGCTGGCGTTCAGCTGAGG